TGGGAATTCAAACAATTGTTGTACAGTCACTGACTGACAGCGAATAAACTTACCCACAGGGGAGGAGCTATGATATCCTTGAATGAGAATGATTTTAGGCGTAATGTAGGAGGAGCTTGATAAAAGTTATAAAGGGCTGAACTCTAGGTCTGGTAAATGAGATCCTGTCTAGCACATGCCATCTGTTGGGCTTAACCTAAGCTTGAGACAGAACTTTTGGCATCGTGGTTTCATTTTTCCAGGTAAGATCGAAATTAGGTTCAAATCTATATTTTATGATAGAGTTCTAACTGTCTTTTTACTCAAGTGTGTGTCTTCGTCACTTTGTAGTACTCCTAGGCGGACATTTCTTCATTCTCGTAGGGCACTGTCACATTGCTTTATTTCCTAATTGATAGTGTCATGAATGTTTTTCGTGTACATGTGTTTCAATGTTGTACAACCTAAATGTTGTTGTTGCCATTGAAATTTAATGAACTATCATGTTTTTGAAATCACAAGCGTGAAGATAACTTTGGCAATCTTTTCACGTGTGGTTAATGTGAATCTGTATTACATACAGCTAACACACTGAAATGTGTTTAACTCTCGGGAGGCTAATGCGGAGATTGATCTCGGAGAGAAAATCCTTGAGATTTGGTATTTGATTCGCCTCAGAAATATTGTTAGCTTTCTGGGCGCGTCGATGGTTCCAAGCATAGATTCCAGAACTGGTTCTGTCTGACTGATTGTCATTTTGAGTCTGTACGAGAGATGGCACCTGACGTAGAAGACTTGACTATCATTACAGGACGTGTAGAGGAAGGCAGAAGATGTAACAGTTGGAATGTGAGACATAAGCCCTTCCAAATTGGACAGGAGTGAATGTGAGCATGAGGGAGAGATGAAATGTTTTATTTAAATAAACATGCTTGATGTTAGTATAATATACCTGCTTAGTGTAATCTAGAGCAGATACTACAAATATGCGCTTGTTTCTTCATTCTCCAGTTCCCACATTGGGCAGGGACTAGTAGGCATCCATTATTTGCCGACCGTCGAGTGTAACGACCTGCAGAAAGCAGTGAGGACGACAAACTGGAAAAGATAGGCAGGGTCTCAAGCCGAGAACTGTCCAAAGGTTGTTACTTTCCAATACCTTTATGAAATCATCATTCACATAACCTAAACTCTACTAGCCTAAACAAGTTCATTTTAATTTCGATTGATTAAATAAATCTTTTTGATGTTGTTACACAGAGTTAAGTAAATTGTGTACTTAGGTTCAAGTGTCTTTGTGCATATTAGTTTACTTCAGCTAACAAATGTTTAAATCACTTGATGGGGGCTTTTTAGCAATGCCAGGAGAGGAGACCAGTCGCAGGGGTTAACTGAGCACCTGGATTATATCACAGTGGATTTATCCAGACATCTATCTATCCCTTCTCCTTCTCCTGTGGGTACAAGTACAGCAACTTTCATTTCATGGAACGAGCCACTCGCTGTTTTCTTGGCTATCCAGGACTGTCTAGGATCAACATAGCTTAGATAATAGTCCAGTTTCTCACGTGGGTGGGCATTGTTAAGGATCAAACCCACACCCTCACTATTTCAGTGTATTTACCCACGTGGGCGCGCGACAATCATAACCAACACCGCCACCAACACCACCATCATCATCATCATCACCATCATTATCATCAAGATCCTGTTGTTCCGTTACCTGGCCACATAGGGCTCGTAGTCTATTCCTTCATTCCGTCCTATCCCAAGCAACCGTGTGGATCTCATAGCTAAACAAATGTAAAAACGTGAAGTAATTCACATCAACCATAAAGGGGGTATATAATGACACAAATAAGCATCACACACACACAGCTCACGCACATACACATGTATGATGCAAATATGGGGGCTTTATGGGGGAGCTCAGAGGCAGAGTTTTCGACTTCGGGGTGGTGTACCGGGAGGCGGCCTTGGCACAATCAGGGACAGTGTCCCTAGCAACCAGCAAAAACTTCAGAAACAAGATCAGTAACAGAGGGCAGATCCAAAACAGAACCTATCAAGAGCAACTTCAAGCTGGCATAAAGAAAAAGCCCACAAAGGAAAATTGAAATACAAAGCGCAACAAAACGCCACAAAGAAAATGTACGCGACTAAGAGTCAGCAAATCAACACGTACTTGATATAGTCGCCGCTCGACTAAGGAGCAGCTTGAAGGAGTCAAGGAGTTTTATTATTTTTGTTTCAAAATATCTAATCCAATCCAGCAAATAATGGGATCCTCTAGCACAGCGGTTCTCAACCTATTGCTCGCGACTCCTTTTAGGATGTGGTCAAGGCCCTTTGGGAACAAGCAACGTAATCAGTAGAGAAAGAAGATTATTATGGCCTGGAGAGAACGAAAGGGTCTGGCCAGCTGACTACACTCAGAGTAAAGGCAAAACTGACATTTAACCAGATTGTGACCGGTACCACCAATATTGAAACTCTGCGCTGGCTGCTGAAGATAAGGACGGAGCATGCAAAGGAATGCCCCGAGTGCTGTGATGTCAATTCTTGACTAAACTCAACTAAGCTCAAATCATTTTAGGATCTAACAACCCTTTCACATGAGTCGCCAAAGCCCTTGGCAAAACAAATATTCATTGAAGTTATGAAGTAGCGTCAGAAATAATTGTACGCTTGGGGGTCGCCAACACATGAGGAACTGTATTAAAGGATCGCCACATCATGAAGGACTGTATTAAAGGGTCACCACAACACGAGGAACTGTATTAAAGGTCGCCAAAACACGAGGAACTGTATTAAAGGTCGCCAAAACACGAGGGACTGTATTAAAGTGTCACCACAACATGAGGGACTGTATTAAAGTGTCACCACAACATGAGGAACTGTATTAAAGTGTCACCACAACATGAGGAACTGTATTAAAGTGTCACCACAACATGAGGAACTGTATTAAAGTGTCACCACAACATGAGGAACTGTATTAAAGTGTCACCACAACATGAGGAACTGTATTAAGGGGTCGCCACAACATGAGGAACAGTATTAAAGGGTCGCCACATCATGAGGAACTGTATTAAAGTGTCACCACAACATGAGGAACTGTATTAAAGTGTCACCACAACATGAGGAACTGTATTAAAGTGTCACCACAACATGAGGAACTGTATTAAAGTGTCACCACAACATGAGGAACTGTATTAAGGGGTCGCCACAACATGAGGAACTGTATTAAAGTGTCACCACAACATGAGGAACTGTATTAAAGTGTCACCACAACATGAGGAACTGTATTAAAGTGTCACCACAACATGAGGAACTGTATTAAGGGGTCGCCACAACATGAGGAACAGTATTAAAGGGTCGCCACATCATGAGGAACTGTATTAAAGGGTCGCCACAACATGAGGAACTGTATTAAAGGGTCGCCACATCATGAGGAACTGTATTAAAGGGTCGCCACAACACGAGGAACTGTATTAAAGGGTCACCACATCATGAGGGACTGTATTAAAGGGTCACCACAACACGAGGAACTGTTTTAAAGGGTCGCCAAAACACGAGGAACTGTATTAAAGGGTCACCACATCATGAGGGACTGTATTAAAGGGTCACCACAACACGAGGAACTGTTTTAAAGGGTCGCCAAAACACGAGGAACTGTATTAAAGGTCGCCAAAACACGAGGAACTGTATTAAAGGTCGCCACAACACGAGGGACTGTATTAAAGGGTCGCCACAACATGAGGAACTGTATTAGAGGGTCGCCACAACATAAGGAACTGTATTAAGGGGTCGCCACAACATGAGGAACTGTATTAAAGTGTCACCACAACATAAGGAACTGTATTAAGGGGTCGCCACAACATGAGGAACTGTATTAAAGGATCGCCACATCATGAGGAACTGTATTAAAGGGTCGCCACATCATGAGGAACTGTATTAAAGGGTCGCCACATAATGAGGAACTGTATTAAAGGGTCGCCACATCATGAGGAACTGTATTAAAGGATCGCCACAACACGAGGAACTGTATGAAAGGGTCGCCACAACACGAGAAACTGTATGAAAGGGTCGCCACAACACGAGAAACTGTATTAAAGGGTCGCCACAACACGAGAAACTGTATTAAAGGGTCGCCACAACACGAGAAACTGTATTAAAGGGTCGCTGCATCAAGAACTTTGAGAACCAGTGCCCAAGCAAGTGGTTGGCACAGAAAGAGACATTTATCTACAAAATCTTATTGCTGTGATTTCATTGGGATTTTTTAAACCTAGGAGCGGACTTGACAGCAGAAACGATGACAGCAACGTGAGAAAATCCTCATTCATTCAATGGTACAAAGTGATAATGCTGAGGCTTGCACACAAAGCGATTATCCAGACGCCACTGAATTCAGGATAGGAGCATAAAACACCACATGCATTTAACGGAACCTACGATCTCATGCTTCTTGAGCCCTATCCACAAAATGTTATATAACACCCCCCCCCAAACCCCTTCCCCACCTACACATCTTGACATTATACCACAAGCTAGGCAATTCAAATCATTGAAAATTCCACTATGGCCACACAAGGAGTCTCATGATTTTTAGTTTTAAATTAGTCTCGTTATATCTTCCAGTATCTTCTTCGTGTCGTCGTTGACACATAAGACACTCACACATGATCTCCACTGCCGGTCTGCTGTTTCTCCGACTAGTTTCCCATGATTCATGGCTATGGGTAGACCAGACACTTCCACAAAGAACCAGAAATACCTGACACATGATGGCATGGCTACGGGGAAAACCCAAATAAGTGTTATCACACGCAGCAAAGAGAAGTTAAAACAACAAAATGGCAGCGTCCATAAACAGGGCCTGTGATAAACAGTAAACGTCAAATAAAATCACAACAAATACAGACATCACACTAGAAGACTATTATTTACTTTTTAGGTTCGTTTGGATTAGTTGTAAATAATTAGAACTTACACAAATGTCGACCAGTAAAGCCCAACAGGAAAAACTGGAGGTGCTGAAGTCAATCTATGATGGTGATGAAGCATTTTAACAGATGAGTGACACAGTCTTTCATTATAAGTATGGAGAAGATGGCAGCCAGAAGTCCTTCATTGTTGAGATTTCCTGGCCAAGCAGCTATCCCGAGGAACTGCCCGTCATTAACATGGAACTTTTTTACAACAAACACGTGTTACCTTAAATGAAAGAAGCTATTAAGTCTGCGCTACTGCAACAGGTTGGTGACCTTCTCGGTATGTTCATGACTTTCTCATTATTTGAATGGGTCAAAGACAATCTGGACAGCTTTCTCTCTGATCAACCGGAGACACTAGTGCAGCCATCTACGTGTGTCCCAGTTAAGGAGGAGACTGGAACATCCCCTGGAGAAGAAGGAAAGGAAGGAACAGCTGACAAAATCTCAGAAGAGGCAGATTTTTGATCGGTTTGGTGCCACCACTGACCGGCCTCGAGGTTGGAACTGGATTGATATCATGAAACATCTTGCACAGTCAGGTGGGCAGAAAATAGAATAGTAAAGCTGAAAAAACAAAAGAACCAAGTCACGATATAACCGCAGCTTAACCCTGGCAGCTCGTTTGAGGTTTGACGTTTGAACAACAGATTGTATACATCATAGCACATAAGTGCGCCGTTCTTCTTCTAACTCAAGTCTGAGTCGAAAGAAGCTCAATGCACAGGCTCTGTATCACCGGCGAGGATCCTGAAATGCTTTCGATAGATTTTTAACTGCATATTTAAGGATTTTTTTTACGTGCGCAACAACGCACACGGGCATCTGATCTCACTACCCAGAGACCCGGGGGAATTACTAGAAGTCCAGGTCCACGTGAAAATTTTTTAGCCTGTACCGGGGATGGAACCGGGAACCTCCAACACTCGAGGCGGACACCATGTCTCGAGACCACGCTGCTCCCTGGGAGCTGGTCGAAAGTGACAAGATTACCGATTACCCCCCCCCCCCCCCCCAATCCCACTCCCGTCGTAGAAACTCAGCAAGGAGCTAAGCTCCTCCCTCCCCTTCCCCCATCCATATTATATAAATGTTCTCGTTCTAAAAACGTTTCTATACAGTTCGTCAGTGTCTGTTGCTTAAGCGTTACGATTGCGCCTTGTAATGCTGAGGTGCCGACTTCGATCGCAGCTGCGGGCGTTTTGGCAGCAGATCGCCTTCCGTTGGTTTCGACAGTGGTCTTGAGAGCCCACCGTTCATGGGAGAATGACAAACTACTGAACGTCCTGCCTAGTAAAATCACAAGCCGCACAAAAATACTGGGGTTGATTCTGCAATGTCCTGTAAAGGATACGCAACTAACTTTGTAAATACAGCACATAACTTATTATTATTATTATTATTATTATTATTATGCACTTACACAAGAATTAAGCCCCTTGCACCTCTGCCCCTAGAAATTTATAAAGGACTGTGCTCCGCCACCCATCCCCTTTTTATCTCCCATTTCCCCCTCTCCATGATTTCTGTCAGTCGGCTCTCCAGCCTGCATCAATTATCAGTACACGGGAGAGGAGCCGGGTCATGAAGTCGGTCAACACTGAACATGGATGGTGCAGAACTGAATCGTCATCACATTCAGGTTAACGTGTTCCTATGACACGGATCGTTGATGAGCAGGATTCAAATTACCATGGTCTTCGTGCGGCTCTGGGATTCCATACTTTTTCGATATTCGGGCTTTCTATTTAAACTGTTTCTTTAGACCAATGGCTCTCAACCTTATAATGCGGCGACTCTGTAATACAGTTCCCTCATCTTGTGACAACCCCCAAACAATTATTTGTCTCCATAACGTCAGTGAATATGTATTTTCCGATGGACAGAGGCGACCTTTGTGAAAGGGTCGTGCGATCAAAAAAAAAAAAGGGTCCCACCCGCAGGTTGAGAACCTCTGCTTTAGACAGTTTTCATTTGGCAACCTTCTTTAAGTAGTCTTTTTTATTATTGCTTTTTTAAACAGTTTGTCTGGTCAGTTTGCTTTGTTTCAAACAGTCTTTCAAATCAAACTGCATCACTATACAGTCTTTCTAATAAGGTAAAGTAAAAAAAGGAAAAATCCCTTTTCACGCCTATAGCACATCGGGCATATCGCAAGAGCACCCATATTTTTACAGACCAGTCGGCACTAAGTGGATAATGTCGTCAGCATCACGCCGGTCGTCTTTACTTCCCCAGGACATATATCTTGGTACTCATTTTAGGCTGGGTCGACCTGCGACGCCCCGTACCATTATATAAATTAATCTTTCTAATTAAACTATACCATGAAACAGTCTTTCTAATCAAACTATATCATAAATTAGTCTTTCCAATTAACTATACAATTAAACAGTCTTTCTAATTAAACTATACCATTAAATAGTCTTTCTAATTAAACTATATCATTAAACAGTCGTTCTAATTAAAATATACTATTAAACAGTATTTCTAATGAAACTATTTCATTAAACATTTTTTCTAACCAAACTGTACCTTTAAACCTTCTTTCTAATCAAACTGCATCAATAAACAGTCTTTCTAAGAAAACTCTACCATAAAGCAGTTTTCTAATCAAACTGTATTATTAAGCACTCTTTCTAATCAAACTGTACCAAGACGAGTACTGGCACCGAAATGGATTACAATTTGTTCAGCCAGTAACAATTATCAACCTTTTCGGACCGTCAGATTTAGAATGATTAAAACCATTATTTTATGAGTGGTTGAATACCATCAACCTGTTCGGTACATCTAGAACTGCAACAAATACATCTCTACATCCAAAAGTGTCAACCATAATACAATTTGCTGTGCAGTTAAGCTACACCGTGGGGCAACTAACTGTTGCATATTGGCGACATGTTTACGATTGGACAAGGCAGACAGATTGGCTGGATCTGCACCACTGGGTGGTGAATAAATGCCTGACAAGGCAGATGTGGTCAAGGCCCTTTGGGAACAAGAAACAAGTCAGAAAAGAAAATAGATTATCATGGCCTTGAGAGAATGATACACCTGGGTGTGACCAGAGGGCCTGGCCAGCACACTACACTCAGAGGAAAGACTAGACAGACGTATAAACAGACTGGTCCATTAGTATTGAAACTTTGTGCTGGCTGCTGAAGATGGGGGCGGAGCGCATATGGAAATTCCCCGAGTGCTGTGATATCTGTTTTGACCCAGCTCAGCTTAGCTCAATTGAACATAGATGGCAACAAATAAATTTACTTCACCTTTCAATGTTTTATAAAGACAGGCCTGTGAAAAAAAACTAGAACCGGAAATTCAGACGTCACTTCAAAATCTACAATTTCACTCTACTTATTCACGATGGATCGAACAGATCAAAGGAATTGGATGGTAATCAGCATCCTGGGCATCTCTGAACTAAAGAAAACCCTATTTGTGTGTCATGGATATTCTAAGGCTGCATAAAAAAAAATAATAATAATAATCATTGCGATCTAACAAGTAAATTTTCGAGAAAATGGTTTGCAGGTGTGTTTATGAATTGAACCAATGGCAGTGATCTCGCATCCATTAAACAATAATTGAACACAGTGCTGATAAAGCTTTTGAATGCGGGTAATGGGTCTTTTCGCGCCAACTGACAAATAAAAGACGTTTCCCTGCAGAGTTCAATGTCTGCGTGAAGCAATAAATCTTGTACACTGTTTGGTGTCCTTTCTTTCCAGAAAAAAAAAAAAAATTCTGGGTTAATCCCAGCCAGAAAGAAATTCATTGGACCCTGGAAGAACAGCTTGTCGATCTAAAATGTATTGACAACAATGTTGAAAACAGCAAGTTTTTTCAGAGAAAGATGACAGCAACAAAAAGATGGCAAACCCAACAAGTGACATTGCAATCATAACAAGTGACATTTTAAAAAAGAAAAAAAAAATTAGGCAGCACTGAAGTGAATTGTAAGAATATTAAACAAGAGACATCCCCGGCTGGTAACTTCCCAAACCTTGTGGAAGGAGATTTCTCTGTTCCAAAAATGCTTGTAGCTTACCCGCCATTATCTTCTTCAGCACTTTACCAAAGTTGTTTTGTAGGGTTATGATCAGCAATTCTTGCCAGGCTTAGGAAGTGGAATCAGGTAGCTGTGCATCAACTCTTCGGGGACTGAAGCTGTCCTAATGCTCTGGTTGAAGCAAGCAGTCGTCTCCAACAGGTTTGCATCACTCATGTCTTTCATATGGGAATATCTAACTCCATCGGGCCACATCAAACTGTTGTTTCTAGAGCGACTAATGTCTTTAATGATAATGTTTTAATGATTTTAAAACGGTTTTAGGGAAACGACAGACGCAGATAACGTTAAATAGGTTTTGAAGACCTTTTTCGCCAAAGAAATAGAAAGCCACCGATGACAATAGATTAAAGGAATCGTTAAAAAAAAATTACTGTTGTGAATTTTCATACTACATACAAAATAATAAAACGGAAGAAATCTGTCTTGTAGTTTTAACCTGTACCACATCGTGTTCGGCATACCTGATACAGTGGAACTCTAATTTTCATACAGACAATATTGGTTGACATTTTTTGACTTTTGCCTGGAAAGTTAATATTCTTCCTTCCTCCGACGTAGTCGACAAGAATAAGCATAACACGGACCTCACAACCCATAAGCTACTCGAGCTTCATAAAGAGAGAAAGCTAAAACAATTTTAAAAATTTCACTTAACGAGGAAAAGGATGATTACGGGCCCGCTCCAAGTGCTGAAATTAAGGAAAGGCTGCCCACTTAGGCAAAAATGCAGATTTACATCAAGAAGTGGTACCCACATCTCGCTATATTCAATTCATGAGTTTAGATGTTTTCGTAACGTTTTTAAAAAAGAACAAAACATGCAAGAGCTGCTTTCTCTTTTGATGTCCCTGCCATTTATTTTGAGTCTGGAAACATCAGCTCTAACAATCCTGTCGTTCAAAGAACACCACAAGACGGTTGCCTTTTCTGGGTTGATTACAGCACTCATCTCTGTACACTAGTCGATCTCCTTTTCTACTGTTGCCTGTAACTCTTCAGCTACTTGATTCCGATATCTCCCCTTCCTATATACAGGAACACCATCTGCAAATGGCAATATTCTGCCAACTCCAGGTGTTTCCAGACAGGCAATCTTGCTGGTAAAAACATTGAATAGTACAGATGAAACTGCAGATCCCTGTGGTAGTCCTGGAGCTATAATACATGGTTTAGAGGTCCATGAACCCAGTCGGAAAGCTACCCGGCGAGTATACAAAACGGCTGCTATCCAATTCACCAACCAAGGACTACCTTCTCCATAAGCGCTTTCATCAAGATACTGTATCTGACTCTGTTATGAGCGTCTTCTAAATCGAGTGTCGCTGCCACTGTTTTCAGTCTGTTCTGTGAAATGAACCTCTTCAGGAAAGCCTCCCCCTTTTCGTTGTCTGTAGTTAATAGCATACCGTTATCTCTATGAATTGCTCCTACTACGCTGGGCTGATCTTTTTTGAGCATTTGCCCGTGTAGCTTCCAAAACT